CTTGATTTTCCATAAATATGTTTATTTTTACTGTAATTATTTTTAAATCAAATTTTACCATTTTTTTAGCATATCAATTCAAATTTTAAATATTGTACACCCTCATTTATCATTTTTTACTTTATTTTAAGCAACTTTTAAATTTTAATTCATTACTTTCAATGTTACATAAAAAATCATATTATATTTTAATTACTCGAATCCTATTTTCTAAACTTATTTGTTGTGTTTCTCTTAATACCTTATTTTTATACCAAAAAACACCAATGTCTTAATTAAATACACAAAACTTTGCAAAAAATCATTGTTATGTTCACTATTTTATGTACACGCCCCATTCAAATTATAAGTCACTATCATGCCATTGCCCTTTTACAAGTATAATTTTTGCACTACCATAAGCAACGATTAAAAAAATATATTCAAATTTTAATAAACATAGATGAAACGCATTTTTTTTAATACAAAAATCGAAAGATACACTATCTTCAAAAGCACAACTAGAAATGTAACTGTCCTTCCCCAAAGCAAGTTAAAAATTCCAGCATAGCTACACTCCCTCGTCCTTTTCTTTTTACATGCATAATTATTAATAATTCACACATCCCTCGGAACGAACTTCAACACATTCCCACCTTACTTTCTCCAATTGGCCACCTCTATAACAATCTGAAAATTCTCGATGTGTTTCGTACAACAACCACCCATGACTAATAAATTTGTTATTCATTCGGAAACTAGTTAGATGCTGTACCAAAAACGAAGACTTCACGTGACACCTTTCCATTCAATCCACTTACTAGTGTCACACAGCGCACCACAACCATTTTCTCACTTAACAGGCCCAAGACGCCTTCATGCCTGTGACACCTCACCAAAGCGTGTCTATGTTGAAGTCGCACTTTTATTCACATCTAAAACCTGACATCATTGAATAACATTTTTTATTAAGTCCGCAACAACGTCGAAACACAACACTTACGAACACCAAGAAAACTATATTTACAATTAGGCTAGAAACAAATTACCACAGTGGAGGCAGAGAGATTTTTTTTCTAGCCAGCAGGCTGACTCACAACGCCCGCCAACATCAATAAACAGCAGCGGCGTCAGGTTAACATGACACCTCCAATTCCAGTACGCCTGTACCTGAAACAAGTCATCCAACTCGCAGGACGAATATATTGCAGCACTTATAACTAATTGACTTACCAATCATTACCCAATTTACTTATTAATTTGAACTTTAATATTGAAATAGTATAACACTTTATATCTTTAATTATCATTATGTGTTTTACAACTTTTACATTGTTTTCACGATCAGTGTGGAATATTTTTCTAAACTAGAACGCCATCTTTTATATAATGTTAACCCTTTATTGTTATATATTACAATCATCTTCGTCAATGCAATCCATTTTTTTTAAAGAATCAATCAAGTTATCATTTATTTTATATTTGTATGCTATATGTCTTTGTTTTTCTATACCCCAGCACGCAAAAGAGAAAACATTCTCTACATATCACCATGAACATGTCAGTTCACGTATTCCCAGTTTCAGAGAGGCATAGAAACACCAATGTGTACCAAAAGGGAAATGACCTAGTTACACACCACAGTTGTAACTTTTCTTCCAAAGAGACAATTTTTGTTCCATTTTTCACTACTTAACATTTATCTAATCATTAATAACCTTTAATTATATTATATTTTTTGTATAAAATCTTGAATAATTATTGTTATTATTTTTTTTTTTTTACTTTTCAATTATATAATCAAATTTTTATTCCAACATTATTTTAACAACTTTATTTTAACAAATTTATTTTTCATGATATTATTTTAGTATGACAAAACATTTAATTCTTTCAATAATCATTTTTTTAATTCATTATTATATCTTTTATATTTTACTAATTCATTATTATATATTTTATATTTTACTAATTCATTATTATGTCTTTTATATATAACATGTTTGATCTTATCCACTTATACTGTTGTTATCCGCAATCATATTTCTATCTTTTTATTCACTATATTTTTGTTTAAATAACTTTATTATATGACAATGTTTATCAGCAACTATCGGGCATACAACAATCGTTTTCAATCACTTCCCTATACTTTTTTCACTACCTATTTCAGTCATTGCTTCAAACCATAGTAGAAACGACAGCACTGCTTGACAATTTTTCTTTTGATTTCGTAATTCAACGAACTCTTTGAACACAGTTCCCCAGAAGTACAAGTCTCGACTTTTGGTCTGAACACGTTTCAAAAGTTTATTTCAATCATCCGCAGAGCACATCACCAACGCATGCACAAAGCGTTCACTTTTTCCAACTTTCAATTTTTCAACTCTTGCGGACCACAATCAACCTTTGATTTCAAGTCAAGTCAGACCACCTACTGTCGCTACAACAATTCTACTTATCGCATGGCTCTACCACCCCTTTCAATCATATTAATTCTTTTCTTCAACAACTTTTCAACCCAATAACCCTACAATTGTGACAAAGCACTGTAACCTTATACAGGATCACAGGTGAAACATTGCCTAGGAAGACGCACAAGTCTATATCCTCGCTTTGCACCTGGACCTAAGTATTTGATTGTCTGTGCAACACTTACAATTGCATATTCTTCAACCCCTAACCCTTTCCAACGCCCGCCAACAATCTTTTAGAACATCATTTTTTATCATCATTATTTTTTAGCAAACAAAGGTTTTATCTACAGTTCTCTTTTATAATGAATATCATAACTTTTAAATTAAACATAAGTTTTATTTTTATAATTTTCAGATATAGTCAAATAAACATCTTGTTATAGCCCTTTACCCTCACAGTTTTAATTAATTAAAAGAAATTTTAATTACTTACCTGTGTTAGAGAGGCTTTACCCGCTTAAACCCGGATAAACCCTTTCACTCCCGGGGCCCATCTATGATAATTTAAACCAACAAACCTATATATTATAATACGTATAACAAGATTGTCATGTTGTATATAGAACTAATCATAAACTATAACAAATTATACGCATAATTGACATGTCTCCTTGCATCACCATATGTAATGTACTGAGGATGAATAAATAAAAGATTAAAAGCTGAGTTAAAAGCAAGATTGAGAGAATTACAAAGTAACTTCTAAAGATAGATTGGACCCCGTCAGACCGTCGCCAGTGTCCGGTGTCCATCGACACGTGTGCCACGTGCATGACCCAATTCTCTTTGTCAGAGCTGTCGTATAAATAAGACCGGCCTTAGCGACAGTTAGTTCAGTTCCAGTGAGTCTTCCGGTCAGCGTCACCCCTTATCGTCTCCAGGGACCAACTCATCGACCATGTAAAACAGTAAGGAATCTTCTATCTCCATCTTTGCTTTTGGCTCGACTTTTTATCTATTCAAGGAATTTTCCTTCGACAACTGTGTCGCTTCGTTTTGTGTGTGTGTCCTTACCACCCATCGCTCAACAACCACGACTGCTTCTAGCCAACATGCCACACTGCATTCATCCAACAGCATAAACTACTACTACATTTCAACATTATTACATATATATATGTGTTGACCAGGAGCACATGTGCTTTTCAGAAGGCAGAGCGCCATCTGGTGGAACAGAAATCAACTAAAGATTGATTTAGCCTGTTCCCTGATATTTGGCCAACTCAATTTCTTGATAAATCAAGAAAAGCCATTTATTTTTAATATCAACACCTTACCTTTTTATTTTTATTTTTCTATTGTTTTTTTTTTCATATATATATGTGTGTGAAAAAAATAATAAAAGTCAGGTGTTGATATTAAAAAACAAATTAGGTATATCCTGAACATATTAACATGAGCGTTTTTTAGATGGCAGAGTGTCATCTAGTGTAAAAGAAATCAACTAAACGTTGATTTAACTTGTTTCCTGATATATGGCCGACCCATTTTCTTTATAAATCAAGAAAAGCCAACCACGTACGCGTTTCGGGCTGTTGGTTCTCGTCAGCGTGGTGCAAGCTGTACCTCAACGACCTTTTGGTCCCAGAGGCTTTCTGAGAAATCAAGAAATATATATATACAACAAAGTTGAGGAAGGATGGTATTCACCATCAGAAACAACTTTTATTTGCACGATCACAAGATGATGAATTTATCTTAAATACAGTAGACTCTCCTACAACGCGATTTCTTACAACGCGATAAAAAAATTGCGACAAATTTATTTATACAACGCGAATTTTTGTATAACGCGTTATAAAATAAAATGCGGAAATTTCCTTATTGACAACTGTACAATACATTTGCATATAAAATAATATTTAGTTTTGTTTTAGTATATAATTATTTTTCCTATATACATCATTTTATACAATACATTTTTTACATGATATTTGTCACTAACAATTTACCCTAACAACATTCGCGTTATACAAGTTTTATTTCGTACAACGCGAATTCCTATAACACGATTTCATACAACACGGAACACATTAATCGCGTTATAGGAGAGTTTACTGTATATCATCCTGATTTCAGCAATTTTTTTCTTTTGTGCTATTTCTTAAGAGTTTTAGGTTATATATATAAAAACAAGGTAAAAACACAATTAGGAGTCAACACTCTGAAACCTTAGAATGTTAAGATTTTATAAAAGAGACTGTTATATCAATTTTGAGTTTATTTTGAGAGAAGAGGCATCTTTTTTTATCTGATTGAGTCCACTAGGCTACCCTGGACATATTTTTCCGTTCGTAAATATTATATAAAGTAATTTTTATACAATATAATGTGGCCTATGATTGTAGAACGACATTTGAAAATATCCCGCATGTATTTCTTTTGAATTAGGAGTTAACACTTTGAAACCCTAGAACGTTACGCTTTTATAAAATAGACTGTTATATCAAGGTTCCCCTGTACGTAGATTTTGAGTTTATTTTGGCCTGAGAGAGGCATCTTTTTTTTTATCTGATTGTAAGATTTTCTTTACCGGTTTCCTTCGGTCCATTAGCTCAGTTGGTTAGAACCTCATGCTAATATCGCGAAGGTCGTGGGTTCGAATCCCCCCATGGGCCAGTTTTTACTTTGCTACAGTGCATTGCGGTTTGTCTGCTTGCTACATCCATTTTTTGAGCTAAAAAACATACACTTTGGTTAGTGCCGTAAAACGATATTCTATCTTACCGATAAAGAGAAAACTCCACCACCTGAGGATCAGTGTAACTAAAGATCATGTAAATAAAAGACGGATGTAAGAAGGGAGAAATTTGTGGACGTAGCCAGGGGGGGAGGGGGGGGCGCTATGTCGGCAATCAACTAAATAACGGTGACGTAAGATGGCAAAGTGGAACACGTAAAAACATTACAGTAGCTTTGTTTACAGTTAGGCCTAACTGTCTTGTTTGATGGGGGCAGAATTATGCTGAGATTTTAAGGTTACCTTAAACCCGCATATTGAAATACCCACATTACCGAATATCCAAGATTTTTTTTTTTCATTTCAAGAAAAATATATTTTACTAAATTAGGCCTAATAAATAGTTAAGAAAAAAAGGCATTTCCTGATCGTGCAAATGGAAGTTGCTGATGGCTTGCGCCATCTATCGGAATAAATATCAACTAATCGTTGATTTTTTAAATTATTCCAGAATTGGCCGAATACCGTTTCTTGATTAATCAAGAAAAGCTAACCACGTACGCGTTTCGGGCTGTTGGCCCTCGTCAGCGTGGTGCAAGCTGTACCTCAACGACCAAAAAAGCTGGTCTTTCGGACATCCTGAAAAACCATGAAACAGGTATTTAGGCCGAAAGGGCGTGAGAACACCAATCAATGTGAAAAATAGTATAAAAGTGAATTTAGTACTAGTAAATAGTAATATCATTTTATTCTCGCGATCAAACGTGGCCTATTGTATGTATTACATCCCAAAATGACGCCAGCCATCTCTGTCTTGAGCTCCATGTACCATCTCGGTGATTGCTAAGCCAGTGTATGCCACTGAATGATTACCATCAATTTATTATAAGTCGGTGGATGAGAGGGTAACACGCTCGATTCCCGAAAGTCATGAACCGGGATTGAATCCCGCGTTAAAATTTGTTTAATATGTGAATAACCTTCACATATTATTCACTGTTTCAATTATCATAAACTAGGTTGCTCTTGCTGAGCGGTGCCTATTAATGTGATTTTGAACCAGATCAATTTATTATTTAAGCGATTTCATCAGTTTAATATCTAAAGACCTACTTAATTTTGTATTGGTTTGTTCTTATATGAGGGAGGGACTTAAAACGCATTTTCCATTACGATACTGTACTTAACTAAACGTTTGTTCCTATACTGGAAACACCTTTTAAATCAGTCTTATTTCGATATCTACAAACGATGTCGTGACATGGCGTTTTTTTTTTCTTGTATATCTTTTTATTTTAAAGCTTTCGGACTTGTCAGTCCTTCAACAGGTTTATCACGTTAACAACTTAATAATTACTATTTTTATATACACATTATTATATACATATTTAAAATACTCATGATATTAAGAGAAAAAATTATTACATTGTGTGTGAAAAACAACTTTTTGAAAATATACGTGCATGGTGAATGATACGTGCTGGTTGAACGAAATCTCGAGACTTCAAATTAAATTTATATATACATCTAGATGAGATTATGTAATACTTCAGTGAAGCACAAATCTCTTAGATCTTCTTATTGTCTTTGAATATAATAAATAAATGCGGAACAAGAATGCACAAAAATAAAACCCAACATTTCCTTTTTATTTATTTATATAGTCTTAATAGTTTATCTATAAATTTGCATATTTTAAATACTTATGATATATTGAGAGAAAAATATATTAACTTATTTCTGTGTGAAAACAACATTTTGAAAATATCATGACGTTCGATGTTGTCCACATCGGTAAAGAGTTTTTCTGTCATGTTTTATCTCCTACAGAACAGAGTAAGACGTTGTTTTGGCTTTATTAGATTATTTGAAAATAAGTGAACTACTGTTAGGAATGCCAACGAAGGATGAATAAGCCTCAAATGTCGTTTGGATATTTGGTGCCTATACCGTCCTCAATTAGACCATTTTAGGAGATAGACGTAGATCTACTTGGATGCTTATAACGCAACAAGAGAATATGATCCTGGTTCCTTTTATAACTCAGATTCCTGGAACACAGAACACCCGGGCTGTCCATCTCACCAGTATGGACTAGTTGTTGTTGTCGTGTCCAATAAAGAGCCTCAGATGTTCCCATACATATTTATCACAGCAGCAGCTATGTCCTCTATCTAGGGATATATGGTAATTGTTGTTGTTGTTGTCATGTCCAATGAAGAGCCTCAGATGTCTCCATACATCTCTATCACAGCAGCAGCAATGTCCACTAACTTGGGTGTGTAAAGCTGCTGTTGTGGGTCCATGTCAGTTTTCTGTTGTTGTCGTGTCCAACGAAGAGCCTCAGATGTCTCCATGCATCTCTATCACAGCAGCAGCAATGTCCATTATATTGGGTGTGTAAAGCTGCTGCTCTTGGTCTATTGGAAAATGGGTGCCGTTGCCATGTTAGTCACCTTGGAAACGAACCAGAATTTGGTCGAATATTCCAAGGGTCCAGGGAGACCGCAGGGAGGTGTCGTCGGACTTCTCTCCCCCACATGGACTTGTGCTAAGCACTTTTAACGTGTTCTGAGTGAAATGCTGATAAAAATTAGTTGTCCAGGAAGTTCCATGCTGAAGTTGTTCTTGTTCCAAAATCACTTTATTAGGTACCGCTCACAAAGAACAACCTAATTTATGATAATTACAATAATGAATAATATGTGAAGGTTATTCATATATTAAACAAAATGTTAAAGCGGGATTTAATCCCGATTCATGGCTGTCGGGAATCGAGGGTGTTACCCACTCGTCCACTGACTTTGTTTTTCCACCATGCTGAAGTCGATTCTGGGAGGCTGGACAATTTTTTTTAGACAAAAAAAAAATAATAATAAAAAGTAAAAAAGAAAATCCTTTCGTGCTGAGTAGTGTAGAGTATTTAGCTGTCTCCCATAAAAACTTCAATATAAAAAGATTCCAATGCCATTTCACACATGTGATGAGAGAATCAAAGTGCCAGAACACATCATAAATCACTACGCCACATTTATGCGGTTGGCGTTGGCTCAAGTTACCTACATCGTCTTCTTTTTCCTGTTGATGACATTGATGCTTTTGGGCATGCGCGATGGAATGTTGTTTGAGGAATCCTATACGAACTGGTGTGTCAATCTTGCGCTGCAGCCATCTTCCTGTTGTTGTAACATCATATAAGGAGCATGCTTTTTTAAATGTACACTCATGGACAAAACTTAAAGAAGTGGAAAGTCGCTAGTCTCCTTTTTTTCGAAGAAGTCCAGTTAAAGGACTGACAAGTCCGAAAGCTTGAAAATAAAAAGTTGTACAAAAAACTTAATCCTGGAAGCTTCATTTATTTTATAATATAATAAATGTGTTTATATAACCGCGGTAAGTTGGCGTTCTGCGCTCCAAGAACCTGGGTTATAAATATCTCTCTCTCTATAATCCACTGCGGCTTGTGATTGTAAAACGACACTTGAAGATACACCGCATGAGTTTCTTTTCGACGAAAAATTAAATTTTTATTTCAAGGTGAACACCATGTGGTGTAACTTCAAGTGTCGTTTTACAATCACAGGCCGCAGTGTATTATATTGTATAATAAGTTACTTTATGTATCATTTACGAACGGAAAAATACGTCCAGGGTAGCCTAGTGGCATCTGCCCGGTAAGCGGAACATTGTGGGTTCGATTCCCATCCCTGGACACTTTTATTTTTTCCGTTCATCATTACTCTTCATAATTCATCCTTTCATACCTCATCCAAAAAAGGTTAGAAATAGTCAATATTTCACCTTGAAATAAAAATTTGATTTTTTTGTCGAAAAGAAACTCATGCGGTGTAACTTCAAGTGTCGTTTTATTTATCTCCCTGTATATGAAAACATAACATTAGAAATTATTTGAATATACAGTAGAACCTCCCTGTAAAGGACAACACCTAATTGCAAAGCCAAAGTGTTCTTTAGGGAGAGGTGTCTTCTTACCCGAGAGTTGCTAAATAGTTGAAAATGATAATTTTACAAATGAAAACTGTCCTTTGTAGAGAAGTTGTCTTCTAGCGCGAGTGTCCTCTCATGGAGCTTCTTCTGTATAAGAAAAATGGCTCATCAAAACTGATACAACAATGTGTATTCTACTGTAAATTTTGGGAGACATACGTTTAGAAGTCAGTCTGTGCAGCGATGCATGTGTCCCCAATGTCACGCTGTTTTGCTGGGCTTATCATCACTAGCATCATCATCAACCTTTTCTTCACGTACTTTCACAAGTCCACCACCAGTCTGTTGTTAAACGGCGTGTGTTTGTTAACCACAAACAAAGCAATATTGTAATTTACACCTAATGTGAAGGTTACGGTTGAAACAATAGACACTTTAAGGAAATGGCCTTATTCAATTAGTAGCTTTCGATTAGACAACCATTTCCAAATATTTATTTATACCAATTGTTGTTTTTTTTTTGCTTATGCCTAGTACACGTGGTACAAGCCATGATAATCGTTTTTTGTTTATTCCTAGTACACGTGGTACAAGCCATGATAATCATGCTGGGTAGAAGTAGGCGACTGCTTTTACTGTAAGTGCACCACATGTCTACACATGTGAAAAGCAGTTTGACTTTGCAATTATAAATGTGTCAGAGACCCGTTTGGTTACTTGCACTCGCTGGTGGGGTTGGACTTTTTCAAGAATTGGGGACCATTTTTTTTTTTATCTTAAAAAAGTGTCCAATGCGGGAATCGAATTTACACTAGTATATATAGAAAGTGAATTATAGTTAGCTAGCAAAACACTGCTGTAGAAGGGTTCAAACACCCGAAAGCTCGAGTTAATAAAATATTCATACAATAAACTTATCACTGGATCCCCCCCATTCTTTCAGAGTTATTGTCTGAATCCCGATATAGATGTTAAAAGGTACAACTTCCTT